CTCTCTCTCTCTCTCTGTTCCTCACTCTGCTGCACACACTTGCACAAATACATGCAAACACAAACATCCATTTTGGAAAATAACAGTATAATCACTCACTCATTCCTACCACATATCCCCTCCAGGTGGAACTGAAATGGCCCACAGCTTTAAGCATCAACCCCCTCGACGACTCGCTCCACTTCATCGACTACGGAATCGTCTTCAAACTGACCAACGACTTCAAAATCGTCACAGTAGCCGGCCGGCCTCAATACTGCCCGAAGAAGGACTCCTCCTTCCTCCCTAGTGGCGTTCTCAACGATGACGAGCAAGCGTCCAACATCGCTGACCACGTGAAGCTGGTGGGTCCGAGGAGCATCACGTTTGGTCCGCACGGGGACCTGTTTATCGTGGAGAGTGACCAGCACAACGTCAACAGGATCCGAGTGGTCAGTACGGACGGACGCATCCATCACTTCGCCGGGGCCAAGAGCAAGTGTGACTGTAGACAGGTAAAGTTTACACACCTTTACTATGGGAAATTGTGATTTTTCATATTTTTTCTAAGTTTCTAATATCTGTATAATATAATTATACACAGGTCGGTGATTTGGAGAAATTATGTTTTTTCTCATTAAAAAAAATAATTAATAGTATCTGTCTTTTTGTCCGTCTTTCAGTCTGTCAGTTTGTGTGTGTGTGTATGTCTGTCTGTCTATCTTCCTGTCGTGAGTCTGTCTTGCTGTCTGTCTGTTTTTCTCTCTCTTGATCAGTGTGTGTCTGTATGTCTGTCAGTCTTGTTGTCTTTCTGTCTGTTTGTCGGTGTGCTTGTCTTTGTCAATGTGTCTGTCTGTCTGTCTGTCTGTTGGTATGCTTGTCTGTGTGTCTGTCAGTCTATCTGTCAGTCTATCTGTCTAGCTGTCCATCTTTCCACATTTATTTCATATTGTACGACCGTGCATTCATACTTTATTCTGTACAAACTTCTGAGCAACACAAGAAAAAGTTTACACGTGTCACAAACGCCCCAATTCCATTTTGTCTCCCTTGTATTTTATATTCAATGTCTCTATGTCCGGAGGAAAATCAGTTATCAGTATTACTCTACTATATACATGAAGACTCCAGTGGAAAAAACCCAGACAAGTCTCATTTTAAAAAATGACAGTTGCATTTTTCTTTTAAATCGTATTTTCGTTTCTGCTAATAACCCCATGCTAAGGACTGTAGGCTACGGTGTAAGGTAAAAGAAATGCTATACTGTCTGTGAGATACGAAGTTTTTAATTTGGAAATTCCATCCATAATTTTCTCCACTTTCTTAAAATCCGATTTACCTGGGGAGTTTTCCACTGGAGTCTCTACGTATATAAATAAACATTCAATTACGTGCCCCCCTTCCCCTTCCAACCTCCCCACCTCCCCCACCCCAGGAGAAGTGTGCGTGCTACGACCCTCACGAGACACTGGCCGCCCAGGCGTTGTTCAGCGACCCGACCTCCGTGACCGTGACCCCTAACGGCGTCCTTCACCTCGCCGACATGGGCAACCTGCGGGTGTTCTCCGTGGTGTCCGAGCTGCCCATCCTCACGGACCGGCACTACGAGGTGGTGGCGCCGGAGACCCAGGAGCTGTACGTGTTCAACATGTACGGGCAGCATCGGCACACCGTCAACATCCACACGGGCCAGTACATCTACAACTTCACCTACAACGTCTTCTCCTCCTACGGCCGGCTCATCGACGTGGAAGACGCCGCCCAGAACAAAGTGCAGATCAAGCGGGACTACGAGGCGCAGGCCAAAGAGATCATCTCGCCCAGCGGAGAGCAGTGCGTGCTCACAATGGACAACCGACACCGCCTTCACAAGTACCTGGCCTCCAACAACGCCACAGCGACCTTCACCTACACTGTGAAGACAGGCCTGCTGGCCTCCAAGCAGGGCAGCGACGGACAGACGTTCCTGTACCACTACGACGACACGGGGCGTCTGCTCACTGTCCGCCAGCCCACTGGTCAGATCACCTCGCTGACCACTGACATCAACACCACGGGTTCCATAGTGCGTCTGGCTACGGGTACGCGCCACGTGAGCGCCATGGCTACCTATGGGAGCGTGCAATCCGTTATGCATGGCAAGTTGCTTGCTAAGCCACCTATTTTACACTTTTTTTATATATGGTGGGTTCATAAGGGCAGAAAGAGCAGCGACAAAGGATTCAGATTACCCGTCTAACAATTTGCATCTATTCTAATGATGCAAAAAAAAGCTATCGTTTTGAGGAAACTTTATTTTAAAAAACAAACCAAAAAACCCCTTCTGACAGTCTACCAGGTGTCAGAAAAACAAAGCAAAAAAAACAACCTTCTGACAGTCTACCAGATGTCAGAAGTTTTGTCTTGTTTGATTTTGAAAAGGAAAAATAAAAAATGAAATGAAGCTGTTTCTGCCCTTACGGAGCCAGGGTTGTATTTTTTTTCCTTCCTTTTCCCCTTTTCCTTCATTCCACAAGCATTTACTCATTCCAATATTTGTGCTTTCAGGCTTGGACACCCATACTCAAATCACATCTTGTAGTGGATTGACTCTCTCTTTCTCTCTTTCTCTCTCACTTGCCGTAGATCACACTCTCTTAGTTTGAATGAGAAGTTAAAAGTGTCTGAGAAAAATTCGTGAAATCTTCGCAAGCGAGAAGAAGTTCAAATAAAGGCGAAACTTTTTTTCTGGTAATGTAAATTTCGTGAAATTCTAAAAACAATCAAATGTAAATCGTAGATGTAATTGGATTCTGTGATCCTGATGGTCTCTTCAAAACCGTCATATGTGTAATAAAAGTGAAATTCAATCTTTTATTAATTATATGCAACATTTGTTTTCCATTTCTATAATCATGAAAGGCATAACTAGCACCTTAAAGATACTTTGGTGTTGCCTCCTAAGAAGGTGGAAATAAAATAACCTGTACTCAAAATGAAAAACACACACACATTACTTTGACTGTTAGAAATATTTAAATTTTCTTTTATAGCAAATATGTCAGAAATGAAGAGCTATTAAACTTAAATGTCATTTGACAATGACGAATCAAGCAGTATCCGTCGAACAGCAGGGTATGCTTTACCATCGTTGTCATCACAACTATAACGTTCTTCCTTCTTCTTCCTCTCCTCATCTTCATCTTGGTCCTTATTCCACCTTTATCATCGTCACTACCGTCTTCCTTCTTCTTGGCCCCCTCATCTTCATCCTCGTTCTTGCTTCACCTATATCATCACCCTCATATACAGTTAATATTCTCTACTCTCTGACTTCTCCCTTGTTGTTTTCTTTTTCATGGACAAATGTTCATACTTAAGATCATTTAGCTTTAGTTCTTTGTCTCTTGTTGACTTTGCTACGTAGTTCAGTTTAGAGACTGTTTTCTCGTCTTCAAATTTTTTGCTACAATAGATAGTAGTCTACTTTATGCTTCCCATTTCGTATCGTAGATTAGCTTGGCTTGTTCCAAGTTCCTGATCTTGATTCTAGAATATCCAGTGCTTATAATATATAGTCTACAAAGTATTTGAATAAGATATTTAATATTTTTTTACGTCTTACAATCATTTTAATAAGCCTTATCTCTGTTAAAGCATGTCTTTTGGGTTTTTTTGTGTGGACAATTTATTTATTTTCAAATTTCTTTTAAGTTATTTCTGTTGCTGGTAAAGACCTGTGCTGATGTTTGATGACTAAAGTCAAGGAAATTCTCTACCTGTTGTGCTTGTAGTTGATCCCCAGGCTTTGCTTTGTAACATCTGCAGCGCGTGTTCTTGTATGTAACACATCTGTGTGTGTGTGTGTGTGTGCGCTTGTATGCAGCACGTGTGTGCGCTTGTGTGTACGGCGAGTTCTCTCACACCTAGGCTACTAACTCTGACACGAATTCGCATAAACCTTGATCGCACCACATTTTGCTGTAATCAGACACAAAGCTCGTGTTGAGAAAAATAGCTTGTTTTACAATTGGGACATCATGAAAAGCGAACAGTACTCTATTTTTAGTTGTTTTACAATTGGGACATCATGAAAAGCGAACAGTACTCTATTTTTAGTTGTCGGGGAGTTTGAAAAATGCCATAGGAAAACAGAACGTCAATTGTCAAAAACTGATCAAACGATCTGTATTTTAAAAAAATTGTTTTGGCATATTTTCTAAAGATTATTTTGGCATACGAGCATATACAGAATATTCCAATGGCAAAGTGAAACGTGTATTTCCGACTGTGTTGTTATTTTTGGAACACTTTTAGGAACAGGTTGTGACAACTGTTGGTGTCTCCATTGAGAAAAGAAAAAATACTGGATTTGTTCAGAGTTAAAAGTTGATGGTCATTGCAGTACCGTAACCCGCCTTATGATGTGACCTGCCATGGTACTTTTCTAAAGCTGTAAAATGTAAAAATAAACAAGACATACATATTATATTTAATAATACAATCGTAATAATGTTTTTTACAAACGTAAAGTCTGTGTGATACTGACACTGCAACATGTCGGATCAAGGTTTACGTGAGTCGGTTTCTCTAACGGTTTCCTTCTCACACTGTTGTACACGACATCATATAACTCACAACCTCCAGGTGCCGGGGTCAGAGATGGCTGCTTTTCTCGAACCTTCATTGCAACCAAACGTTGGTGTCAAGCAAGTTTTGCCTCCACAACACCTTTATTAGTATTAGCTGGGTTTCTGTCTTTCTCTTTTAAAAGGGAACTATTACAATTTCTGATAGTGGGCCATGTCAGGAGGCAAAAGCATCCTTGGGTAGCCAAGTGACATTGCAGATTAATTAAACATGAACATTAATGGATATAGAAAAAAGTTATTTGGTTGGGGGGGGGAGGGGAGGGGGATAGTTTCTTGTCCAGTAAGTAAGGATGAGTGGGTGGAGACTGGCAAAGCTATACAAGCTTCCAAGCAACCATCTCTGACCTTCATCCATGAAAGAGGTGGCAACCTATGTGACTTTCTTACTTTTATTTAAAAAGTCACACAGTTTGCGATTTTGTCATCGGTAACTTTAAGATCAATAATTTGATAATTCCCCGTGCCCCTCCTCCAACCCATTACCGCTTTCATTGCTCTGGCATTTGCTTCACTTCACACACTCAGCATCCAGTAGGTTGTGGACTGTGCTAACCCGACCCATGCTTTTACTTACTTACATGATACAGTTATTGGTGCTCTCCCTGGCTCACCGAGAGAGTAACATTATTAAACATTTTATCATTAAACATTTTAAACTCTTTCTCCTGCTGGAAAGTCAGGCTCAACAACTGCATACAAAAAAAATTGATACAAACGACGAAAGTCTTCATCCCACCCCCCCTCCCGAAATACCATCATTTGAGTAGGCCTAATTTAAATATTCAGTTGTTCGAGTAACTTTTTCAGTTAAAATCAAACCAAGAAGAATGATACGTGGTGTTAGAATCCGCGCCTATCCTTCATGTTAACAACTTCTATTTGTTGGCTTAAAAGAACGGTCAACCCAAGCAGTACATTTGGATTTGTTCTCACTCTTCAGAGAGTGCATAACGTCAATCACCAATCCCACATTTTATTAGAGCTACTCTTTTGATCCTTCGCCTACCCTCTCATTGGAATCCCTTTAGTGCAACATTGACAGAAAGATGCAAAATAGTTTAATTGTAATAAATATTCAAATTGAAAAAAAATACTCATTCCCTTCAGTTGTTTTTCCGTACTTTTCGTTCGACCAGGAGAGTAGAAGAAAGGGAAAATAAATTCAGCAAACATATTGCTATGAATTCAAAACGTATTGCCAGATGTCAAGAACTTAATTCTCTGAATTACTAAAGCAAAATGTGTATGTTTCAAGCAGTTCTGTCCCTCTTTTGATCTCTTTTGATCTCTTTTGATTAAAATAGAAAGGCAGAATTATATCCTTTATTTTTAAAACAAAAAGTACGACCAATGCCATTCTGGAGTCGCGCATTAACGCTTCTGTCTAGAATTGTTGATTATCCTAATTAACACTTATGAGTCTGGTGAAAGTTTTTCATTAACGCTTTTGGGAGTGGTTCCTTTTTTACCCTAATGCCTTCACCGCACCTTTATACGAAGAGATTTTTTCCTCCCTGCCCTAACAACTGCTTGTCAGGCTAGAACATTGCCGCTCCTAAGGTAAACTGAGCTCCATCGTGTTAGTTATTAGATAAAATATCATCATCATCTTCATCACCATCATTATCATCATCATCGTCATCATCATCATCATCATCATCATCATCATCATCATCATCATCATCATCATCATCATCATCATCATCAACATCATCATAATATATACTCAACTCATTATCACGTCGTTTGGCCATAGTGTTTCAAAGTTCACCACAGCGCAATCATCACATAGTTCTATATTTATTATTAGATCCATCACTGTTCTTTCGGTTTCCTCTCCTTTGAGGCAAAGATGGAAGACAACGAAATAATACCTGGTAAAGAAAAATGCTTTCAAGTAATTTGAACAATGACCGTATGACCATTCTCAAAATTAAAGTGTAAGCTTAGTGCGAGTGGTGTATATTATTTTACATTGTTTTCGTAAGCCTGTGCTGTTCTTTGAACCCTCTGGTGACTTTTGCTGAGTACAGCCAGCCTTAATTTGATGTTGTATTTCTCCCGCCTCGTCTCACAAAAAAACTGTTCGATGTCTTAGGGTAGAAAACTACTGTTTGTGATTGTTGTTGTGCCTATCTAACCCCTTTAAGGTCTCTCGTCTTAGCTTATTATTTATAGCCTGTCTCCAGATTTAATGTCGTTATGGTGGCACCATACGCTTTCACTGGGTCAGTGTTTGCATGATCGTTCAGTTCTTTTTCTTCTCGTGTTCCGATAGACATGCGCACTGCACTGATCTACTGCCCTATGAAAAGCCATCTTGTCATAAATGAGAAAACCATTCAGTCTGCGTTGAAATGACAAAATATGCAATCTATCAGCAAATATCTATGTTGTATTGTCTCTGTCCTTGCCTGTGTTTCCTTACTACACTTCCTGTGCTCCAACAAAAGCTATCGCATTCTCTTTTTGTTTTACCTCTTCGTTTGTTTTTGACATTTGACATGTATTTTGTCATTTCTTCTCGTGACCAGCTTTAGAGATCCGTGCTGCTGTTGTGGTCACTCTATCTTTTATTTTCCATTCCGAAATGCCCTGTCTCCAATTCAGTTTGTACGTATTTATTTCTTCTTTAATTAATATATGGATTTAGTTGGTGTTGATTTTTTTGTGTAACTTTATTTTAATTGAGTTCTACTATTTCTCTCTTGTTTTGTTTTTTTTGGTTTTTTAATTCTTGTCTACCCTTGTTAGGTTGTTAAGTTGTTTTTTCTGGTTGTTTGGGGGGGGGGGGGGGTCGTTTTTGAAAGCTCTTTTTCCCTAATGTATTCTTCTTCTGAAGACATCAATTTCATGTGTGTTTGAAGCAGTACCAAATGATTGACCTTTTGTCAAGTACATTCTGTGGATGTGTTGTGCTGATGCCCTCTTACAATGTCTGCCGTCAGAACTTCCAGTTCTTCTGGTCTTGCTTGATTCTAACGAGCTCCGGAAGCGGACGTGATGTCATCACTTTCTCCAGCAGCTGCTGTTGGTCTTTTGTCGGAATTTTGTGAAGTTATTTCCCTCTTTTCTTTTTTCCCCTTTCTGTCTTGCTGTGTTATGGAATCTTTGTTGTTTCCCCTGAGTTGTTGTTTTTTAATGGAGTTTTTTTGTGTTGTTTTATCTTCAGTTTTGACTTTTTTCCTTCAGTTTCTGTTTAGTTCCCTTTCACATTCCAAACTTTCTGTTTAATTTGATGGCAGCTGTATTTCTTTTCCTCGTGAACTTTCTTAACCTTGATGTAGTGTTGGAATAATTCATATCACGCTAACTGTTCTGTCAGCCTGTTTTCCATGTTTCTGTTGGTATATTACTTGTTTTTATTTTTATTTTTATTTCTGTCTCTTTTTCCAAGGACCAGGCGGGTGTATGGCGTGTTGTGAGCTCGTGCCATTTCGTTTCACGTCGTTTTTTTGTTCGGATAAGGCTTGTAAGGAGATATTGTAGACTTGTAATGCTATAGGAAGTTGTTAAGACATCGAGGCCTGTACTATGGAACAAGTGTTGGGAGAGATGGATTGAACCATGGTGTCGTCAGTTTTCATGAGGGTGTGGTCTTTTGTTTTGCTGTTCTTGTTTGTTTTGGGTTGTTGTTTTTTCTATATTTTTTGGGGAGGGGGTGGTGTTGTATAAAGGTTGGAGTTGAGTTTGAGGGGACACGGTTTATGATTTCATTAGGGCGAGCAGTAGTATCAGTTTTTAAGGCAAAGATTGTTTTATAAGATGGATGGGCTACTCCTCTGTTTGAAATATGAAACAATGCGTCAGCAGCGGTGATGGCTATCTGTGAAAAAATGGGTATTGTAGGATGAAATTTTGGGGGAACTGTATATCCTGTATATTAAGAGTCTATATGACGAGGCTTTGGAGGGGAAATCATTCACCAAAAAATTTATGTCTATGATTTTTGGTAAGTAGCGGCGTACGCTTTTCAGAGGACTGGCGATTTTTTAAAAAAGATCTTTGGTTTCGGACCAACTTTTTTTTTCTCCGTTTTTTTTTCGTTTGAGGATATAAGGATTACAACTGATGGCACTGTGGTTCAGTCTTCTCCAACAACCCTACCTACCACCACAAACCATGTGCTATATAATGACATGATTTTGCTTCAACTTCTCCCTTCGGCTGTCGCACAAACACAGGCTCCAGTCAGACCAAAGTGACGTATCTGCCAGACGGCGCCGTCGTGGTTTTATTCCCGAGCAACCTGACCGTTGCCATAGAGACGGGCAGCCACCCGATCATGGAGAACGAGAACCGGATGCACTACAAGCGGAAGGTGATCGTGCCCGGCTCGTCGGTACACCGGCTGGAGTGGCGGTTCTACCTACGGCGCAGCGGCCGTGCCAGGTCGTCCCGGGTCATCGAGAAACTGGGTCAGCGTATGCGGGTAGGAGACACGGGCCTACAGCATGTTGTGCATGATACTCTAGGAGGTGATGGCCGTGATAAAGTCCTGATGGTATGTCCCGTGATGCCCCAGTGTGCTGTCTGTCCGGTCAGATTTTGATCTCTCCACTCACTCACACCGCACTCACTCTCTCTTTCTCTGTCTCCCTTTTTCTCTATTCCTCTCACTCTCTCACACTCACTGTCACTCTCTCTCTTTTTTTTCCTCTTTTTCTCGCCACTCACTCACCCACTTGCACTCACTCTCTATTCTTTTTTCCTCTCCACTCACTCACTCGGACTCACTCTCTTTTTCTCTCTCACTCTCCACCACTCACTCACTCTCTCTTTTTATCTTTTCCTCTCCTATCACTCACACTCACTCACTCGTTTTTTTCTCTTTTCCTCTCCACTCACACTCACTCGCTCTCTCTTTCTCTTTTCCCTTCCTCCCCTCTATTTTCTCTCTCTCTCTCTCTCTCGCTCTCTCTCTCTTTCTCTCTCTCTCTCTCTCTCTCTCTCTCAATCTCTCTCTCTCTGTGTTTCTCTTTCTCTCTCTCCCCTCCCACTCTCTCTTTTCCCACTCTTTCTCTCACTCTCTCTAACGCACTCCACTCACATTAAAATTTTGCTCAAAATACTGAGCGACCTCTTTCTAATACAGTGTTTGCTTTCAACCATGTTTTTCCTCTCAGGAATGAGATGTAGAAGTCATAGAATGTTTGGAAAAAATAATACTCGAATTACATACTACGCCTTTTTCGTAGAAGTTTTGATGTTATGGTTCTTTTGCCTAAATGATACAGATTAGAAAGAAGTACGAAAGTCGTTTCATTTTGAATTCTGTTAATTAATCTCATTATCATCCTCATATCATTGGTTGAGTTATTCGTAGTTTTTCGTCGCATCCATAGGCCGGTTATATTGCTATGCCCTGCCAAAACTAGTATTAACAATGTGGCTTAGCTTCATGGCTCTCTACGTTGAAAATAACTTCTTTTTTTTGTTCTTCTAAAGATAAACGTGTAAAATAGTGTCAAATAAATGAAGATGAGTTTAGAATATTCAATAAATTGATGAACGAAGATTAAGCATTTCAATGACGAATATGATGATTAATAAAGATAATTTGTTGCTGAGAAACGGATGTTGAGACCTTAAGAAAAGATTTTAATTTGTTTATAAATAGTGAAACAATGACACAGTAGGAGGTCATAATTTTTCATCTCTGCTCATCAGGGTTTTAAAAGAAATATTCTTTAAGTTTCAGCAATGAGTTCTACACCCAATATTTCCTTTTGGGGGTTGTGGGATGTCTTCAGGAGGGAGTATGTTTTAGTGGGGGGTTCGTTTTTTAAATTTTTTTTTATGCAGATATCATAAATAATGTTAGCAGGGTTTTTATTTCATCGTTGTGTATCATAATTTTGTTCAGATGTTCTGCGCAGCGTAGGCTTTGCAATGATAAAGAGTGGCGTTCGTTTCTTGTAGTCTTTTAGCATGAGAAGTTGATAGCAAACAGAGGTTTGGCTGAATAGTTCCCAGTATAGCTATGTAATGAGTCTAGATCTTAGGGTAGAGGGGCTGTTGTTTTGAGTCTAGATCTTAGGGTAGAGGGGCTGTTGTTTTGAGTCTAGATCTTAGGGTAGAGGGGCTGTTGTTCTGAGTCTAGATCTTAGGGTAGAGGAGCTGTTGTTTTGAGTCTAGATCTTAGGGTAGAGGGGCTGTTGTTTTGAGTCTATATCTTAGGGTAGAGGGGCTGTTGTTTTTATCAATACTTATTTGGTCTTGGTCTATGATGTTATATTTCTGTCAGAATTTCCATCCAGTTCTCCTGTTTGTTTTCATT